TCCTGTGGGCAAGAAAAGCGCATCATATTCACAGAGCTGCGTGCTTGAAAGGCTTTAGCACCTACAGAATCTGAGCATCTGCAGGTGTATGGCCTGGGAGGGACGCCTGGATCTCACCGTGAACATCTCTCCCGCTGCACAGGGCCAGGGCACCAGCGGACGGGAAAGCCTGGCAGCCAAGTGAGCAGAGGCTCACAGCAAAGTCTTTCATAATGGAGTCACATCCTTGGCTTTCTGGGAACCCGTGTGGCTGGAAAGCAGTCGCCTGGGGATGAGGACACGCCACCAGAACAACAGGTACTTGGCACTCATGGCAGAAATAACAGGTACCTTCTCCCTGACTAGAGAAGATCTGTGGGGCAGACACGCCTGCCTCTTCTTTAGACTCAGAATCACTGGACATTAGAACCAGAAGAGCTCTTGGGAGAACAGGTCCAAGAACCCACTGGCAGTCCAGTGGTTAAGACTCCATGCTTCCACTGCAGGGGGCGCGGGTTTGATCCTTGGTCGGGGAACTAAGATTACTCATGCTGCCTGGGGTGGTCAAAAGAAAAAAAAGAGGGGCTTACCTGCTGGCGCAGTGGTTAAGAATCCACCTGTCAATGCTGGGGACACAGGTTCAATCCCTGGTCCGGGAAGATCCCACGTGCCGCGGAGCAACTAAGCCTGTGCGCCACAGCTACTAAGCCTGCGCTCTAGAGCCTGCGAGCCACAACTACCGAAGCCCGCAGGCCTAGAGCCCGTGCTCTTCAAGAGAAGACACCGCAATGAGAAGCCCGCGCACCGCAACGAAGAGTAGCCCCCACTCGCCACAACTAGAGAAAGCCCGCGCAGCAATGAAGAACCAACACAGCCAAAAATAAGTAAGTAAATAAAAGAACCCCATTTTACAGATGAGGAAACTGAGCCCAAGGGAGAAAAGGTGGCTTATCTAAAGCCCATCAAATGAGTTGGGGCAGAACCAAGAGTAAGGTCCAGGTCTGACTCAGTCCAGGGCCATAAACAATCTGAAGCCAAAGATACCACACGTTAGGACAACAGGAGAACGCAGAATAGAGAAGAGTTTCCGGGATGAGGCAGGCTGGCAAGTGTCAGATGCTGGGGACAGCAAGGAGGACTCTAAACTCAGCACCCAGGAAGCAACCGGAAATGGAACTCTGATGCACGTGTAGTGAGTAAATGCTGGAGAAACAGGCAAACTCCCTTAAAATAAAGTAGTAAAAAGGATGGACAGAGAGAAAAAGGAAACTTTGAGATGCAGGGAAGAAATCTCAAGGCATTTCAGCTAAATGACTCGGTCTTCTCAGTAGATGGCAAGGCCAACCATGAGACCAGTCTTTGTGGGAACTGGACTACGGGTCTGTGATCCAGAGTCAGAGGGGAACCCTGGGGCATTCCAGAGTTGGGATTAACCCCCAGAGTCCACTGGGGGTTAATGAGGCTCCAGGAACAGCTCGGGGGCTTGGACTCGGCTGAACCTGTGATCTCTGATTTGTGCTGGTGCCAAAACGTACAGCCTGTGGTTCTCCAGCAACGCCTGGCAGCCCGGGAGAAGCAGCAGAGGAAGCATATGGGCCTGCGTGCGTGTCAAAGGGAGGCCAGGGGACAGTCAGGGGAGCAGGGGAATCAAAGGGCAAGTGGGGACACAGGTGAGACAGCTGAGCTTCGCCAGGCCGGGAGGAAGGACAGAGTAGGAGGAGTTGTCGTGGGCCAAGGCCACATGTAGAACTGGAAGGACGCGATCACGGGACGTTGTCATGGGATGAGAAATGACAGAATTCTGGATCTTGGAGTGATTGGGGTGGTGACAGGACCAGAGGTGCATCTGTGTGAGGTTTGCTCAACTGAAGCTTCAGTGAGAGGAAACCATGTCTGGAATGTTTAGAGGGGTCAGCAATTCGAGTTCTGTGGTTGCCCAGGGAAGAGAAAAACAGGCACCAGAGGCCTTGAAGGATGGGAAGGAGAGCGCTGAGGTCAGAGGGCACAGCACTGGGTAGTCCCACCTCAAAGGAAGCAGACCTGCATGGGGGAGGGGACAGGGGAAAGCTGGTCTGCCCTCCCCAGGGCCACAGTGGCCAGAGTGAGAGTCTCCGACTCACAGGAAGGAATCAGGACCACGAACTCAAGGAGGCAGCTGGGGTGTTCGTGGCAACAGTCAGGGGGGTGGGGTAGTGGGCTGTCAGCAGACAGGAGGTCCTGAAGGTGGAGAGGAAGTCAGTGGTGTAGAGGGGGCATCCAGTGGGAGCAGAGGGGAGTGTGTGCCCAGCAGGCACTGTAGCCCAGGTGCACTTAAGTCCTGGCTCCACCGTTATCACTGCAGACTGAGCATCACAGTACCCATCTCAGGCAGACCCAATTTCCAGGCATCGACTTTGAGCACCTCCTTACAACCATCATGGGTAGCCCCCAGGAAGCCTCTAAAAAGTGTCTTTCAGGTAGAAAGGCTTAGCCACAGAGGAGGAGCTCCAGGTCTCAGCTCAAACATCTCCTACCAGGAAACTCACCCTTTCACACTCTGTCTAAAATAGCGCTGCCCCTTACTCTGTCTATTCCCTCACCCTCCCTTTACTTTGTCTAATGCCTCACTCTGCTCTATTTTTCTTAACACTTATTACCACCAGTCATGTTACATAGGTATTACATACATCCACTGCATTATCCACTGCTTGGAACAGGACCCAGTGCATAACAGGCACTTAATAAATATTTTTAGATTGCTGAATAAGTTCTCTTTGAAACCCAAAGCTAGATTTTGTTGGGAAGGGAGACCCTGAAGTCTTTCCTGCTTTTTAAAAGAACAAAGCTGGAGGTATCACATTCCCTGATTTCAAGCTATACTACAAAGCTACAGTAATCTAAACAGTATGGTACAGACACATAGGTCAATGGAACAGAACAGAGAGCCCAGAAATGAACCCACATTTATATGATCAATTAATCAATGACAAAGGAGGCAAGAATATACAATGTGGCAAAGACAGTCTCTTCAATAAATGGTGTTGGGAGATCTGGACAGCTACATGCAGAAGAATCAAATTGGACTTCTATCTCACACTATGCACAAAAATGAATTCAAAATAGACAAAAGACTTAAATGTAAGACCTGAAACCATAAAACTTCTAGAAGAAAACATAGGCAGTATGCTCTTTGACAGTAGCCTTAGTAATATTTTTTGGATATGTCTCCTCAGGCAAGGGAAACAAAAGCAAAAATAAACAAATGGGACTACACCAAACTAAAAAGCTTTTGCACAGTGAAGACAACTATCAACAAAATGAAAATGCCGCCTACTGACCAGGAGAAAATCTTTGCAAGCGATACATCTGATAAGGGGTTAATATCCAAAATATACAAAGATCTCATACAACTCAACATCAAAAAACCCAAACAATCCTATTTAAAAATGGGCAGAGGACCTGAATAGACATCTTCCCAAAGAAGACATACAGATGGCCAACAGAAACATGAGAAGATGCTCAACATCACGAACCATCAGGAAAATGCAAATCTAAACCACAATGAGGTATCTACCACCTCACACCTGTCAGAATGGCTATTATCAAAAACACAACAAATAACAAGTATTGGCGAGGATGTGGAGAAAAGGGAACCCTCATGCACTGTTGGGAGGAATGTAAATTGATGCAGCCACTAGGGAAAACAGTATGGAGGTTCCTCAAAAAATTAAAAATAGAACTACTATATGATCCAGCACTTTCACTCCTGGATATTTATCCAAAGGAAAAAAACACTAACTAGAAAAGATATATGCACCCCTATGTTCGTTGCACTGTTATTTACAATAGCCAAGATATGGAAGCAACCCAAGTGCCCATCAATAGATGAATGGATAAAGAAGATGTGGTATCTATAATACATACGCAATGGAATATTACTCATGCATAAAAAAATAATGAAATCTTGCCATTTGTGACAACATGGAGGGACCTAGAGGGTATTATGCTAAGTGAAATAAGTCAGACAGTGAAAGACAAACATGGTATGATATCACTTATATGTGGAACCTAAGAAACAGAACAAATGAACAAACATTACAAAACAGAAACAGAGTTACAGATACAGAGAACAAACAGGTGGTTGCCAGGGGGGAAGGAGGGAGATAGAAATAGGTGAGGGAGATTAAGACAAACAAACATCCAGTAGTTGCAAAATAAGTGAGTCACAGGTATGAAATGTACAGTGTGGAGAATACAGTCAGTAACAAGGTAATATCTCTGTACGGTGACAGGTCACAAATAGGCTTTCAGGGTGATCATTTAGAAATGTACAGAAATACTGAATTACTACATTGTGTAACAGGAACTAACATAGTACTGTAGGTCAGTTATAAAATAAATAAAGAAATTAAAATAAATGAAAGAGTGGTTCTGAGCTGTGTCGAGTTCACGCACTTGAGCACCTCCACTGCACATAGTTCTGCTTCAGGCAAAGCGGGGGAAGTCTTTGCTGACCTAACGCAACCTGCTGGAGCCTGCAAGATGGTTCTCAAGCAATGCCAAGACCCGCTCCGACTGCCCAGCCCCTGAGCCCACTAAGCCCGGCTGCAATTCAGCTGTGTTCACAGCACCTGCTTGCTACACCTGGCAAGAGTCCAGGAGAGGAGGGTAGCACAGCCTCTTCTGCTGGTTAAATACAAGCAGCATCCTTAAAAGAATTCCTATAATGATATTTCTTCTCTCTACCTACTCTAGAGATGTGCCCACACTGCATCCCTATGCTTGGAAAGGTTCCCCTAGTGCATCCCCACGTGTAACGGGAACACATCTTCCTCTTCTTTTCGCAGGTACTGGCCATCTCCAGGGTGGGGCACCACGGATGCATCATCTCACATGGGCGCCAGCACCTCCATCCCAATGCTCCTTACTGCAACAATATCACAGTTTTACTCCTGTTTTTCTCTACCGATTTCTAGCAACCGTGGATCTGTGATTAGCATGAAAAGCCAATCCATCCTGTAAGGAATCAAAGGAATACATACCGCAACCTGGGCAGAGTCAAGGAACTGGAGGCCAAAGTAATCTGTTTCCACCAGGTCCAAGTGGTACACAATCTGATCAAACAAATCCTGGCCTTTGGCATGTTTCTGGAAGACAATTGGGTAGATGAAAATTTAGGATGTGACAACTGGATAAGAAACAAGATTAAAAAAAGAAAAAAACAAACCACAAAATCACTTTTCTCTCTCTACTGCATACATGTGTCACAGTACACAAATTTTTTTAAATGTAATTATTTTTATTATAATAAAAACTCATGATTAAATCTAAGCATACATACATAATGACAAGAAAAACCCACCAAACTACAACTTCATAGGATGATTAGGGAACCAATGACTTATTATGATAAATGGTAAATAAATGGGAAAAAAAATCAAGCATTGATCCTGCCTTTAGCTGTAGCACTGGGTAACCAAAGAGCAGATGACAACATATACAAAAATTAACTCAAAATGAATCAAAGACCTAAATGTAAGAGTTAAAACTATAAAACTCAAAAATAAAACATACACACAAATCTTCATGACCTTGGATTAGGCAACAGTTTCTTAGATAAAATACCAAAAGTGCAAGCAACAAAAGAAAAAACAAGCTGGACATCATCAAAAATGTAAAACTTTTATGCTTCAAAGAACACCAAGATATCAAGAAAGTACAAAAACAACCCTGAATGGGAGAAAATTTTACAAATCATACTTCTGACAAGGGACTTCTATCTAGAACATACAAAGAATTATTACAACTCAATAATAAAAAGACAAATATTCAATTAAAAATTAGGTCAAGGAAATAGAGATGATAGATGATAGACAGATAGATAGATATAGATACATGGTTCTCCAAAGATAGAAAAACAGCCAATAAGCATATGAAAAGATGCTCAACATCGTTACTCATCAGGGAAATGCAAATCAAAACCACAATCAGACACCTCACACCCACTAGGAGGGCTATAATCAAAAAGACAGATAACCAATGTTGGAGAAATTGGAACCCTCTTATACTGCTGACAGGAATGTCAAATTGTGTAGCTGATTTAGGAAACAGCCTGGCAGTTTCTTAAACGGTTAAACCTAGAGTTACCATTTGACCCAGCAATGACATTTCCAGGTAAATATCCAAGAAAAATGAAAACATTAAGCTCACACAGAAACTGGTACAAAAATGTTCACAGCAGCATTATTCCTAACAGCCAAAAAGTGGAAGCAACCCAAATGTCTATCAACTGATGAATGGATAAACAAAATGCAGTACATCCATACACTGAAATATTATTTGGCCATAAAAAGGAATAAAGTTCTGATCCATGCTACAACTTTGATGGATATTGAAAACATTATACTAAGTGAAAGAACTTGGTTACAAATGACCACGTATTATTTGAAATGTCCAGAACAGTAAGTCTAGAGACAGAAATTAGATTAGTAATCGCTTAGGGCTGCCAGGTTTGCGGGGTGACAGAGAAGATGAGTAGGATTTTTGGAGGTTAATGAAGTGTTCTAAAATTAATTGTGGTGATAGATGCACAACTCTACGAAAATTCTAAAAACCACTAAATTGCATGCTTCAGATAGGTGAACTGTATGGTATGTGAATCTCTATAAATAAACAATTAAAAATAGTAGAGAGGCAAAGTTTTTCTTTATAGTAGTATTCCAGCAAATGAAGAAGGAATAAAAGAATTGCAATATCACAATTTTGCAACTTCTAATGAATGGCAGGCTCTAAGCATTGGATGCCAGTGGCTACTAACATCGCAAAAGGAGACAGACAGACAACCATTATGTACCTCGCCATGAAGAACGTCCCACCACCCAAGATATAATCTTGCTCCCCACACCTCTCTTTCCACAGGAAAAAAAAAAATCAACCCTGGGACTGATTCAACCACTAGATCCAACTGCCAACTGTAGGAAATGCAGAAGAATGTTCTAAACTACATGGGACTGCAATTGGCGAGATCCAGCCTGTGGGAAATTCTAGAAAGTCCTCAGGATAAATGACCTAGTTTCTTCAACCAACAGACTATAGGGAAGAGAAGAGATGGAGGGAACACCTACAGATTAAAAGAGATTTAAAAGACATTTTTTTAAAAAAGGATAACTTAACTTGCAATATCTAGGGATGCACACTTGGGTGAGCAAACTTGGAAAGATAGTAAAGAAGTGACTGTAATAAAGTCAGAGCAGTCGTTGCTCTTGGGGCTTGGAGGGGGCACAGGGAGGGGGCAAGGGTGGACTTCTGGCTGGCTGGCAGGGTTCCAGCTTTTGACGTGGGTGGTAGTACAAGGGTGTCTGTCTACCTTCTAGTAGTTCATTAAACTGCGCCTTTGTTTTATGTGTGCATCTGTACTTACGTTATACAAATAAACAACAATAACAAAAAAAAAAAAATCAAAACTACATCAATGAATTACAGTCTCTTTCCTTCCTGGACCCTCTGAAGGCATCAATTCAACAGAAGCAGAAGACTTGACGTGCAGTGGTGTGTTCTCTATAAATTAATCTACTGGAGAAATAGGCAGGATCACGGGAGGGCAAAAAGAACAACTGAAACTCCAATCACAGAACACAGCACTGGGGCCCACCAGCACTCCAGAATACTGTTCGGCCATAACCAAAAAGAATTATGAAGATGAGACAGAAATATGGAAAACTCATATGACAAACGTTAAGTAAACAGAGTACTTAACTCTGTTAATAGAAAGCTGTGATCCCAACTACATAAAAATACGTATGCACTGTACATGGACTACTGGATAAAAACAGGAAATTGGCAAAAACTAAAACAGCTGTGTTGGCATGGAGAAACTATAGATGGTTTTCTTCCCGAGGTTTTTTTTTTTTTTTTTTTTTTAACACTGGTCTTTTGGCAGCTGTTAGGCAGCAAATACAATTTCAAAAAAAAAAAAAAAAAATCGCAATTCTGGCACTCTTCCTCCTTGCCCAAAACAATCCATCTTCTGAATGTTTATCTTCCAATTACTATCCAGTGCTATTGGCCCCATGCAACACCTATTATCATGGTGCCAATGCTTCATTAGTGGGTTTCCTAGTGGGAAAAAAAGAGTTAGGAGTAAAGCTTTAGCAGCAGGATGTGGCAGAAAGAACTGCACTGGGAGAAAGCAAGAGACCTGTGCTCTAGTCCCAGATGCACCATTAACTTCAACCTTAAGCAATTCATAATTTCCCCCAATCCATGTGGTCATCCTGGACTTCCCCTACAGCTACAAATCAGACATGGCCATGGCGCCCTGAATATACAGGGCCACCAAAACTCAAATGACCCCAAATCCAACCTGCTCCCCACCTGGGTCTATTTTGGTTCAGGGCTTACCATCCAGGTACGTAATTTTAACACTCTCAGAGTATGAACTGAAAAAGCACAGTTCCCCACGTGTAAAATGAGGGAGGTTGGCCCAAGTTTCTGTCTAGGTCATTCCAAATTTTACTCTTCTGATGTCTTTCTAAAGTGGCTCTTAATTTAGAATGAGCTCAAGGTGGTGGTTAGGAAAAGAACTTTTCTAGGGACAGTGAGTCCCTTCTGCCAATGCCAGACTGGCTCCTCTGCTGACAGACCCTCACTCAGCTGGACTTGGGGGTGGCATACAGCAGGGTCTGGTGGATAGGAAACACTATTTTTACTCACCTATAAACACTTCCCCCCACTCATCTCCCCACCCCCCCAAGTATGCTCTTTGGTCTCTTCTGCTGGAAAAGAGAATTCCCAATGGCCCTTTCCTGCTCTAAAAAGAATCTGCTGAAATTATGAGGGCTGGAATGAACAGAAGGTTCCTTGAAACAGAGGTCCCAGGGAGTTAAGGGCAGATTGAAGACAGGAGGGTCAAGACCACAGCCCTTGAATCAACCATCTTTCACTCCTCCCAGCCCACAGAGTGTCCATTCCCAAAACTGAGAAGGTTCCAGATAACTCATCTGCACTGCCAGCCAGGACATCTTACTCAGGGCAACCCCTAGAAGCCCACAAGCTGTCATCTCGGGCTTACTGGCCCAAACATTCCCTCCTTCGGCAGCTTCCCCAACTCTACTCTCCCTGCCCGCTCCAGGGCAGTAAGTGCCCCTCTTCTGGGTTCCCACAAGCAGACCCATGCCTTCATTACATACACACTTATCACACTGCACCATAGCTGCCCATGTTCCTGTCTTATTCCTGCTTCAGACTGAGCACTCCCAAGGGCAGAGACCAGCTGTGTTCACCTGGATACCATTCTCTCTTCCCTCCATCCCCAAAACACATGCCTGGCTGGCACCCAGCAGGCACTCCACAAATGTCTGTTTGCTGGATGGATGGATGGATGGATGGTTGGATGGATGGATGGATGGATGCGTGGACGGATAGGGATATGTGGATGGGGGATGGATGGGGGATGGATGGGGCCACGAAACTAATCTTCTGGATGGGCCATGCCAAAGCATGAAAAACAGACTGATATTTCACTAGCGGCAGGGCTAAAAATGAGAATACACTCACTAAAATCTTTTCAAATTAAGTTTTCCATGAACAAGCATCTAGGGAACTGTGCTGCACTTCCAAGGCCATTTACCTAAACACAATTTTGCGGCTATTATGTGAAGCGCTGTCTAGTGATTACACCAGGAGATCTGTTAATGTGACAAGAATGGAAGCTGCTCCTTGTTGCCTCATCATTAACTGGGTCTCCCCCTCTGTGATGAATCCATTCATTCATTCATTCAACAAATATTTACCAACTGCTCATCAAATGCCAGCCACCCTTCTAGGCATTGGGGTATGCTGGGGTCACAAAGTCTGGAAGGGAGCAGCTACAGCAAGCTACAGAACAAGTCCTTCTTGCGGAGCAACGTCGTCCGAAACAGCTTAAGACCCGAGCCCAGAAGTAGCAACACCACTCACCTCCCTGCCTTCCCAAACAGAATATACTCAGTGTAAAACCTTACAAAGTCCCCATCACCATCCTGAAGTCTACCAACTACAAGACATGTATGGAGAGCTGTCCCTAAACACAGCAGGATCTAGAGAGCTCTACCCTCGAGTTCTTACATCCACGTTGCCTAGTTTTTCTTCCTCCCGTCTCAGCACATCA